TATTCTTTATTTCTCTTTGATCTCTTTTTTGTTCACAATAAAAATTATGACAACAAATGGTTTTCATTGTAAAACTATGACTTTCTATTAGATCTTCATTTTCCTTGATCAATTTATTATTTATAATCACTTATATTTTCCAAGTATTGAAGTATATGAGGAAAATTACTTCTGATTAAAGTTCTTGAAACTATTGTTCAAATTGATGTGAATCTATTAAATTTTGCATTCTTCTAATGATGTTAAAATTCATCACCAGCCTGTAACAAATGGATACCTTCCAAGTCATACTTTTATATTTTATTCTTTTGAAATTATATATTAAGATTTTAAAGTATTTTCTTTCATAACTTTCATATGATTTCTTCATATATCTCATAGGTTAGGTTTGTAATGGTTGTCAAAGACTTTTGTATAAAAATACTAGGTAAATTCTTCAAAATCTATGATATATACTATTAGATTTCACCTAGTTTTCCACCTAGGTTGACAATCTAGTGGCTAAATGATAATTAGGCTTAATGTGTAGCCTTCACTTTCCTGTTGTAAAGGTGGGGCATACTCAAATGGTGCTATTACTTTTTATTAACTTGGTATATGGATAATTTTGTAGATCCAAACAATTTTCAAAGGTAAAGCATGCACTAAGATTAGGGAATCTACATTGGGCTTAACAAAGTGGCTTGTCCAAATAGCTCAAGAGACTTTTGGTGATTTTGAAGAAGCAGTTGAACATGATTTGACAAAAACTACAGTTCTAAATAGAACTGTTCATCCTTTAACCAGCTATGTGATTAATTATGTAAAGTTTTATCTGAGTAAGTTCTGGTCTTTTCAATTTGTAGTTTATTATTCTATCTGTTTGGGCAATGATAATGCATGCTTTCCATCCACATTAGTGTAACTAATAGAACTACTTCTATTACCATAACCAAAGTCCAAACTCTTTCTTATTTCAATATATGTTCACTAACAACATGATTATTGTACAATATAAAACAGAAAAGACATGATGAATCCATAAAAGTTATGAAACTTACTTATACATGCAGTACTTGAACTCTTGGCTCCTTATAAAATCTTTCTTTCCTTCTTCAAGCTACAACACAAAAAACATAAAAGAAATCATTAAACTAGACAATAAAAACAGATTCATACAACATCATAGCAAAGAAGGATTTTACATACGAGATCACTTTCATATATAAGCTCATAACAAGCCGGAGAAAGGCACTTCAAAGTACAATTCTCCTTTGCTATTGATGAAGACTTACATTGCCTACCCCACAATCCATTGATTCCATAATCAAACAGAATAAAATACAATAATCAGTACAAGTAAAAAAAATCTTCTTGAAAATTATTGTATCCTGCTAAGTATCAAAACCCAAAATTTCCATATCCATTCATCGTCTTCACTTAAAAAAAAAAAAAAGAAAGAAAATACAAGTCCTTATAATGGAAGAGAATAAAAGTTGAATTGAGAAAAGATTCAAAAACACAAATAAAGTCCATTAAAATAGTCAATACAAATAACTTTATCTAAGATTTAATTAAATACTATGCAAGAATATTAAAAAAAACCAAATTTATTTCAATTCAAATAAGCATAAATTCAGCCTAATTGAAGAAAAATATAAAGACCTAAAATTAAAGGAGAAACTAAAAAATACCCATCTGTCGATATCAGCATAACATTCATTCTTCTTTTTCTTTATCTCATAATCCTATGAATTGCCATTAAAACAAACCAAGTAAGAAAAAAACACAATGAAAGGAAAAAAATCAAATTAAAAGGAAAAAAAATTAGGTGTACTATTATGAATTGCAATGGACTATCCGAAATCCGATCTAGCCCAAATCCCCTTTCCCAACTGCTATTCGAATCTCGATCTCTGGAATCGAAAGCAAGACCAACGAGCCCTCGGTCAAGCGAAAGACTTACGACTTTGAATTGAGGATCGCTAGAATCCGAAGCTCTTTCAAGTCCTTGGGCACAAAGGAACTAAACACTACACTATTCTTTCTATCTCTTTAGTTCGAATGCTTTGATGCCTTTAATAGAGAGTGCAATTCCAGCAGAATCCTAATCAAACTATTGCTCGTACCAAATCACTGCTTAAACCCTTGGTGAAACTGGTGGGATGAAAAGGCGTCGCTTGGTGAGATGAAAGAGACAGGAAGAAATAGTGAAAGAAGAGAAGGAAGAAGAAAATAAAATTTTAAGGTTTTTTAGGTTAAGGGTAAAAAATAATTTTATAAATGAAATAATAAAAATATATATAATAGAAAAGCTCAATTAAGTTCGCGAGCTATTCGAGTCGGGTATTAATATGCTTGAATTTAGTTCATTCAATATGTTGAACTATTCGAACTCGAGCTCAGTTTGATAGTTATCGAATTAAATTCAAATTTTAATCGAGTCGAATCTGAATAACTTATAAATATTAATATATTATTTACACTCTTAATTAAAACTATTTGAATTGAAATTTGACACTAGTTTCTTCTTTCGCATTTTCATCCAACAGGCAGACATCAAAATTCACTTTATAAGGCAAAGGTCCTAGTTTGCTATATGTATCGGTCGAAAACCTCTGGATAATACCTGCCATATATTACGTCAGTACTACATTATTGCAGTAAATTTCAAGGTGCACTGTACAATACCTGCCATATATTATTTCAGACCTAGATTGCACTGGATATTGCCAACGTGCACTGTTCAGGTAATTTTATAATCCAAGAAGCAAAAAAAAAAAAAAAAAAAAGGATATTAGTCAGCAAAAAAATTGTACAAACTTATTCGGACACCAACGACACTATGTGTGCGGTAACAATTTACAAATATTCTAATTTTGACGTAAGTTTGTCTTTTTGGTAGCATCCACTTGAGCCAAATCATACAGTTGAAACTTAATAACCTCTTGTATGTAATGAAACATGTCTTTAATAATTTGTCTCCTCAAGCCATACGTCTTGATGTAATGTTCAATTCATATAAAATAAATGAGTAACCAAACAATGTTGAAAATCGGTACTCCTAAAGATTTTTCTTTCAAATGACTAATCCATGTAAATTCTCCGTTTCAATCATCACCATGCTTGGTAGCGCCGGGGCATTGGAGCACATTTAGCTAGATTTATTACTTAGAATAATTACACCCAAAAAATAGATTATCTTTATTTTTATCAGATTGTCCCTATAAAACACAAGTGATGCAATAATCACTTATGGAAATCATTCAGCGGATATTTGGTTTGTAGAATTGTAGATTTCAGAGAAAGTGTGATTTTTGAAAAAGTGTAATATTTTAAATTTTCTTTCATTTTTTAGGTATTCTGTATTTAAATTTATTCGTTTGATTGGAGAGAATTTACGTATATTAATTTTTAAATAATTAACATAATTTATTTGACATATATGATGGTAACTTCTCATTAGCTTTTATTAATAATAAATACGCAAACGAAAAATGATACTTTTAACAGTAAAAATAAATAAATATTTTTATGATTGCTATTTTATTTTATAAAATATTATCAATAAAAAAATATTGAGGATTATTTAAAATGTTTCCCAACCAAAACCCTTTAAATAAGTCTCAATATTTAAAAAAAAATGAAGGACATTATTGAATACATTTTTAGACAAAAAAAATCTTAAATAATCCCCTTCGTTTTTTAAAAGGCATTATTTAAGGTAGTTATAGACCAAAAATACTTTAAATAATACCTTTTAAAAAAATAAAAAAAAATTATTTAAAGTATTTTTAGTTCAAAAACGTATTAAATAATCTTTTCATTTTTTTAAAATGCATTATTTAATGCATTTTTTGACAAAAAAATGCGTTAAATAATGCACTTTTAAAAAATGAAGCAACTATTTAAGTCATTTTTAAACTAAAAATGCCTTAAATAATCCATGTTAAAAAATATCAATGAATTATTTAAAGTGTTTTTAAATAAAAAATGCCTTAAATAATGTCTTTTAAAAATTTTTGTGATATTATTTAAGGTTTTTTTTTTGTCTAAAAATGATTTAAATAATATTGATGTATTTGTTAAAAGGCATTATTTAAGGCTTTTTGAACAAAAAACACCTTAAATAATTTTTTAAAAAAATATATAAGGGATTATTCAAAATATTTTTTGTCCAAAAACACTTTAAATAATCCCTTTAAAAAATGAAGAAATTATTTAAGATATTTCTGTATGCCTTAAATAATCTATTTGTAAAAATATAAAATGATTATTTATGATGTTTTCTATATAGAAACACCTTAAATAATCCTTCTATAAAAATATTAACCCTAAACCTTAAAATATAAAAAGATTATTTAAAATGTTTTATGTACATAAACATCTTAAATAATCCATTTATAAAAAAAAAAAATTATTTAAGGCTTTTCTTCATACCAAGCGTCTTAATTGCAATATACAATTTTTTTCTATACAAAAATCTACAACCAAATTTCATTCACTTCCAAACATTTTTCTAAAATGTAATGGCTATTTTATAATTTTTTATTCAAATTAAATTTGAAAATAAAGTAACTTTCCCCCGAAATCTTAAAATACCATAACGAGAAGTAGGTTTCTGATTCCAATACTTTTGGTAGTATTGAAAATCTATCACTTTTTCTTATAATCGAATTATCTTAAACCAAACGTAAAAATCTAATACTCACCATCAAAATTTCGAAAAAAAAAAAAAAGAATTTCTCTAAACCAAACATCACCTTCTAATGTTGCGCTTATCCAAGATAACCACTCCCCAACATTAAATTTAATCTACTATTCAATGATATGGAACTTGTGCTGCTGGCAGTTAACCTATCCTTTCTAAAAATGCGTATCATTTTAAAGGTTTAAAGGGTGACAATTTTAGATAGTTGGCTAAGCTAAGCTCCTTGCAATAACCAACATTCAGAATAATTAATGTAACAAAAATAAAAGCAATTACAATGAAGTGGCATAGCATGGAAGCAGACCTTCAATTTGAAAGTAAGATTTAGATTTTATTGCATAAAAAAGTTAGAGAATATGATCGGCATTACAATTATACATTCTTGACAAAAGGAGAAATTCTGAAAGCCAAAAAGAAATGAGGTGAGCAAAAATCAACCATCATATTGCAGATAAGTAATTAAAATCACTTCCAGTTGTTGGCAACAATGTCAGCCAAATCTACAACCCTTTGAGAGTAACCCCACTCATTGTCGTACCAAGCAATCACCTTAACCAGGTCATCTCCCATGACCATGGTCAGTGATGCATCAACGGTTGAGGACACATCAGAGCACCTGAAGTCGACTGAAACAAGGGGTTCATCACATACAGAAAGGATACCGTTAAGCTCTTTCTCGGCACTCTCTCTGAAAGCAGCGTTCACCTCTTCAGCAAAGGTCTTCTTTGAGACCTGGACGACTAGGTCAACGACCGAGACATTTGGTGTTGGCACACGCAAAGCAATGCCATTAAGTTTTCCTTTGAGAGTAGGGAGTACAAGGGCCACAGCTTTTGCTGCACCAGTTGAAGTCGGGACAATGTTGAGAGCTGCGGCTCGAGCTCGCCTGAGGTCACGGTGGCTAGCATCAAGTAGCCTCTGGTCACCCGTGTATGAGTGAGTTGTAGTCATTGTGCCCTTGATAATACCTGCCATATATTGCGTCAGTACTGCATTATTGCATGTCAACATGATTGCAGTAAATTTCTGCCTCTTAACAATTAAATGGCTAGAAGTTTCCGAAGACTTCGAATTTTAGACTGGACACCAGGTGTTTAACTAGTAAAAACCTGATCATTCTTGTAATAGGCTTATCAGTACTGTCTATCGTCATACGTACCATTTTAATTCGAACCACTTTAAGAAGTTCGCATTAAAAAAAAAAAAAAAGGCAAATTAAGAAATTTGTAGTCTCGGGGACAGTATGGTTAAAGGAATTACCAAACTTCTGGTCCAGAACCTTGACGAAGGGAGCAAGGCAATTGGTGGTGCAAGAGGCGTTGCTGATAATAGGCTCATCTGGGCTGTAGGCGTCAGCATTGACACCAACAACATAAGTTGGGATGTCACCCTTTCCTGGGGCAGTGATGAGCACTTTCCTAGCTCCTGCTTGTATATGCTTACCTGCACCATCTCTATCGACGAACACACCAGTTCCTTCGATCACCAGGTCTATCCCCAAGTCCCTACATCAACATTATCAGTTTGAATGAAAACAAACAATTGTCAACACTTGTTACTTTATATGCAGATAGGATGCATTAAAAGGGAAACTAGAAATATGAGAAACATAAATTCTTACTTCCATGGGAGGTTGACGGGGTTGCGGTCAGAAACGACCTTGATGACCTTGCCGTCAACAGAGATGGCATCATCGCCAACAGGCTTGACATCGGCATCAAAGATGCCAAGGGTAGAGTCATATTTGAGAAGGTGAGAAGCCTGCTTAACACCACCAGTGTCATTGATGGCTATGACCTCAAGTGGGGAGTCCTTACGGCCGTGCCAGCACCTTAAGAAGTTCCTGCCAATCCTACCAAACCCATTTATCGCGACCTTTAGCTTTGCCTGTACAACCCCTTTCCTGTATCCACGGTTATTGCTTCCCAACTACAAACAAGAGTATGGGTCCAAATGCACATAAGGTAAAAAATGGGGTAATCGACTAGTAATTTGAAATTTTAACCATAATTCTAAGGATATAATCGATTCATCAGTACGTTAATTATACATCGCATAAACTAAATTGAAAGGCACATCCATTTCATAAACAGGTAGGAATTAATTGCTTCCCGTATTGGTGTCCACATATCATCCCCTACTTTCTTTTCATTTTTTAAAGCTTTTGATTTTTGGTTCTTTTTTCTTTTTTAATTTTTTTACTTTTAATTTTTGTTAGATAAATTTTACAATAAAAAGTCAATTATATTAAAATAGAGATGATAAAATAATCCATATAAAATGAGATTTGATTAGTCTTAATCCAATTAGTGCATATTTTTTTAATTTGGGATAATTTGATTGAATTTTTTTTTTTTAATCGAGTTGAAGTGAGAGTAAGATTTTTGATGTTATACCTCTTATATATATATAAATATATTTTTTATTATTTATTTAATTCTATATTTATATATGTATTTATTAAAAAATATTATTTAATATTTTAATTTAATAAATTTATGTATCACATCATTTAGTTTTTAATTATTTAAAAAAAATTTATTAGATAAATTTTGTAAAAAATAGAATCAATGAATATAGTGACAATAAAACAACTTATATCTGATTAAATTCTATTCGTTATGATCCAATTGATATGATTTTTTAAAATAATGATTGAATTAAATTTTATCTTTTTAAACAATTTAAGTTGAAATCGAGTTTGAGGTGTATGAAAGAATATATTTTATTTTTTATTAAATTTATATTTATATATATTATAGTAATAAAGATAGTATTTAATATTTTAATTTAATAAAAAAATTATATTTATACATAATTAAGTTATAATTCATATTAAAAAATAAATGTACTTATATTTTTTATATATTATCATTTATTAAAATTTAATATAAAAATTTATTTCTCTCGTATTTAAAAACAATTTAAAAATATAAAAAAAATCTTTTCGCAATAAGATCTAATTATAATCTTTATAAATAAGGTAAATGCAATAGGATATATATATATATATATATATATATCACATTATCACCCTGCAATATATATAAAGAAAATTTATCTCTTCAGTATTCAGGTAACAACATGGCAGAGTAGACTAGGATGGAAAAGTACTAATAAAGTTGGTAGAGCGTCAAACTCACAGCAGATGTCTGAAAAGCAATGACTGAAAGGAAGTCATCTGAGGTTTTCCTGGCAAAGGGTAGGCTAGCCGACGAGTTGCGTAGGCCTGAGAGCTCTGCAAAACCTTTTGCATTTGCCTGAAAGAAAAAGAAACATAGATTTGAGGTGAGCATCACTTCAGATCAATAACACATTAGTAAAGGGATGCAGCAACACGCAGTACTAGTAAGACCACCTGCAGCCTGCAATGAACCTGAACGGTTGGTTTGGCTACATAAACAGTAGCCGAAGCCATTATGGTTGTGGAGGAATCTGTTTAAGCAGTGGTAGCAAAGATAGATAGAAACCCGGCAGAGGTTTTAGTTTGATTATAAAGTCTAGAAGTGGGCGGGCAGTCAGTAATTGGTGGATGCTTGAACTAGAGGATGAGATTATGGATAGCCTCTCCTTCAATGTATGGCTGTGGTTTGAGCTTTTGCGTTTGTGTCTCTCCATCCCTTGCTTTCCATTTCCCATCATATGACCCGTAATTTCTTCCATCTGTTTTTAAATGTTTGGGCTTTGTGGGCTTTTATGGCAGGAAAACAATATTTCCACGTTTATCAAATGTGTCCTATTTTTACCAAATGTATCCTATTTTTACTCTTATATCATACTTAAATGTGCATAATGTGTGTGGTACGCTGGCATATTTCACTCTGTGGCTATAAATAGAGAAGGTAAAAAGATTCGAGTCCGTCGGATTTTGATCCAACTCTACTTCTTAAGGTCGATTTTTATTTTTAAAAATCAGGTATTAGGTCGGGTAGGGTAAAAAAATTTTTAGATTTGGGTCGGGGTCGGGTTTTAGGTAAACCCGACCCGATATATATAAAAAAATTATTTTTTTAATTATTTTTTTAATTTTATATTTAATTATATTTTTTTTATATATTTAATTATATATATATATTTAAAATAATATTTTATTAATTTCGGATCGAATTAGATTTAATTTTATATACTATCGGATCGGATCGGATTGAGTATTAAAAAAAAAAATTTTAAATCAAATACGAATTTAAATATTACATATTTAAAATCAAATCAGATTCAAAACGAACAAAAATTCGTTCGACCGGAACCGTTACCATCACTAACTATAAATCTATTTTGAAGATTTTAAACGCTCGTCAGTTGCGTCCGGATTCTTATATAATTGTATTATAGCAATCAAACATGACGTAGCGGTGGCAAATTAAAAAATATCAGTCTGGGCGATTGATGGTTTGATTTGGCTCCCTCGTGATGATGAGATTTTAGTTGTTGTTACTGCCCAGGCTATCTTTGTCCACAAGCATAAATTCGCTCCTTGTAGCGATGCAACTTGGGTTGGGCAAATCAAGAACCAATCCAACGTGATTAGTATGGGTCAGTTTGGGTTTGACAAAAGATAGCAACCAGGTGGAATTAATTCGTCAACGATGGATTCATGAGTTATTTGACCTGATCCACATTTAAAAAAGAATTTTTTTTATTTAAAACAAATATTTTTAATTAATTTTGATAATTTAAAATATAATACAATCACATAATATAAAAATAAAATAAAGATGATATAATTTAAAATTTTAATAAAAATTATATATATTTAATAAAATAAAAAATATATTTTATACACAAATTATAATATATAATTTTTATGTAAAAATAATATAAATATATAAATTATTAATATTTTATATAATATGTATATACCAATCGTTAGGTCTACTTTCAATACCATTACTATATTACCAAAGATCAAATTTAAGCCACCATAAGTTGAAATTTTAGTGACAACATCAACCAAAAGTCGTTAGCTTTCACTTAATTTTTTTTTTTATTTAAGGTTATGTTTGGATTGAGGAACGTGGGGGAAAAGAAGAGAAAGGAAAGGAAAGCAAGGAAAATAAGAAAACCTTTCTTTTGTTTGGTTTATCTTTTATATTTTAATAAAAGAAAAGAAAAGAAATTGAGCATCCCTCTCTTTCTATCAAAAGCTCCAATTTTAATTACCCCAAATTAGGGTAAACAGTAAGGAAAGAAAAGGATTAAAGTTTTTTTAAAATATAAAATGATTTTTATATCATTATATGTTATCATTTTCCCAAGAATACTATTATAATATTTAAGCTTAACCATTGATACTACCTTTAAATCTATTGCAACTTATTCCTTAACTATTTTTTTGTCAATAACTTCGAATTTTATATATTTTAAAATTATATTTAAGAAGCATTTGATTCATAGAATTTTAGATTTTGGGAGAAAAAGTGATTAAGGAGAAAAGTTATAATGAAAGGAATGTATGATTTTTGGGGTTTTGTTGACATAAGGAATATAAAACTTTAATGTCTGGTTCAAAAGAATGTAAGATTACCTAATAAAATCTTTTACTATATTGTTCTAGAAAATAAGTGAATAACATATGATATTCATAATACTGATATATGAATAATACATTATTATCTCTATGCAAAGAAAACACGTGGATCAAACTTCATGGTAAGGTCGACGTGGCTCCTAAGAGTTTTTAGGAGTAGAACCCTTATGTAATAATATTAAGTAAACCTTAACATTATGTGTAATAATATTGTATTTATAGATTTTTTAGACGGATTCTGGTAAAACATATACTATGGAAACTGATTACATTAGGGACAGATGTAATTAATGGTGGGATTATACCTAAAGTTATGGAAATTATATTCAAAAGAGTTTGGACAGTGAAACACTTCATGAAATTTTTGATAAAAGTATCATTTATTGAGCTAGTTGGGTAATAAGAATTATTTTAGTTAATTTTTTTATTGATAAGGTAACTTGCTTATATATGATCTTTGAGTTTGACAGATATATAAGGTTGAATTTGACAAATATAGAAGAAAGAACCACCAGTTTGTCAGTTTGTCCGTAGTCAACACATGAATTAAAATCCGTAAAATCAAAAGTATCAAGTATCTCATTATTTACTAACTTTTTTATTCTCTCAATGGAGAGTCTTCGATACCACAACATGAAAGATTTCTCATTCATAACATAACGTTTCATACTAACGTTATCATGTAAAGACATAAGATACAAAGAACATTATGATTTAAATGAATTTTAAATAAACCATCAATCATTGTCCCATTACCAACAATAACTAAATCAAATATTGCGAGATATATGCTTATAAGATATGCATTACCATTTCTACCCCCTTGTACATTCGTCCGTACGTGTAGCATCTAGATTTTATTACCCAAATACCTTTAATTATACTTTAATCAAATTAAATATTACAAAATATCTATTTATAAAATACTCATTACCATTCCTAGATCATTTATGTTCTCGTGTATGTCCATCTATACATGTAGCATCTAGATTATAGTACCTGAAAACCTTTAATTCTACTTTAATCTGATCAAATAATGCAAGATATTTGTTTATAAGATACCCATTACGATTCCTAAATCATTTTATTCCTATGATGATCTAATCTACCTTGAATTTTCACAACAAAAACTTTGTTCTTGATCAATAATTTTTTAATTTAGTATAAAGTAATAATAAAGTGTATATATATTATATAAATCTATTTGAAATAATTATTAATGCATTTGGAAAGATGCCTTTTTTTATAAGGGCATTTTTAAAAATGTCTAAAGTAGTGCAACATTTTCATGCTAACTGATAGTCTTTTCTAGGGATTTTTTTCTATCAAACTAAATTAAAAAAGAGAACAAATCAACTTATAATAATGTAAAACTTAGTTTTACACATTTTTCTAACTAATGATTACAATAGATCTAAAGGGTGTGATTAAACCACTTTTTTTTCTTTTCAGACTCATAATATTGAAATTGAATAAACCAAAACAATATCAATATAAAGATAATATTCATTGAAGGGAATTAGGATATAAATATAAATAAAAAAATGGACCAAACAAAAATTTTAGGAAAAAGTTAAATTAGATCTTTTTCTTTTTTTTTATTACAATTATCTAATATTGTAATCTTTTTATTATTACTCTAGACCGTCATATTTGTATAGTTATGGTCCCTAAGTAAATAGATTATCTTGAGTTGTGCATACATTGCATTGGACTAAGCTAAGCTAAAAAAAAAGGCTAGATTATTTTGAAAAAAAAAAAACTAGTCAATGATGACCCTCTATGGATTCGCCAATGTAAATCACAACTAAAGTTATAAAAATAAGAGCTTGAATCCCACTTGTAAATAATCCATAGAACATGACAAGTATAAGAATGGCTGAAAGTACTAAAGAAACAAGAATAACAACTACTAATTCATCAGCTAATATATTCTAAAAAAGTCAAAAACTAAGATAAGTGTTTTGCGAAATCTTTTAAAATGTTAATAGGTAAAAGAATTAGAGTTGGTTGAATGTATTTACTGAAATACCCTTATCCTTTTTTTGAAAGATCAACATAAAAATATACTACTGACGTAAGTAAAGCTAAAACAACAATAGTATTTATATTATTCATGGGTGCAGCTAACTTTTCATGAGGTAATTGTATGATTTTCTAAGGTAAAATAGCACCCAACTAGTTAGAAACAAAAATAAAAAGAAACATAGTTCCAATAAAAGGAACCCATGGACCATATTCTCCTCCAATATGAGTTTTGTTCACATTTTGAATGAATTCAAGAACATATTCGAAGAAATTTTGACCTTCTGTTGGAATGGTTTGTGGATTCTGAATAGAGATAATGGCAAAATCTAAGCAATAATGGCAAAATCTAATAAGATAGTAATTACAACCCAAGAAGTAATAAGTAATTTGGCATAGACTTGGAAACCTCTTATTTGCCAATAAAAATGTTGGCTTGCTTCCACATCAAAGATATCGTATAAATCATTTAGTGTGTTGATGGAACATGATATACCATTCATATTACCCTTTGATAGAAATAGAAATTTACTTAAAAAAAAAAAAAAGGAATTGAATTGAAGCTATAGCGTCATCATTTGCTAGAATTGAAATATCTGCAAGATTGAGATCACAATTTGCATTGATTAAACAAATTGTTAGAATTCTTAAATGATACATTCTCGAAGAGTCGTATATTCTTCTTCCTAATCAACAATGATTACAATATCAGGCAATCCTATCATATATTTAATCCTGCCCAGGTATGTTTGAAAGTGAGATAATTGTCTCTTTAACCTAGCTGCATCTCTTTTCGAAAAATGATTGAGTCTCCCCGTCTTTTGTTCTGTTCTCAAGTCCTTGAACTTATGAAGCCTTGTTTCTGTAGTGGGCCAATTTGTTAACATACCACTGAGCCAATTTTTATTAACATAATGACGCCGAGCCCTTATTATAGCTCGTGCCACTGAATCAGCTACTTTATTTTTACTTTGGTACCAATAATTAAGAATTGTTTTCCTTTACCTGCTACATCAAAAACTAAATAGATTTTGTCATAATGATTTGAAAAGATAACAGTTCAAATGGATA